GTCACTATGGTCTGGTGTCACTATGGTCTGGTGTCACTATGGTCACTATGGTCTGGTGTCACTACGGTCACTATGGTATATGGCCAAGTGTAATCAGGGTACTAAACACAGCCAACCAGCATCCTTGACAGCTCACCTGAAAATAAAACGAAGAAAAGAAAAAAACTACTGCAAAACACGAGAAGTCCAATAGTTTTATCCTATATTTGTATTTCTGACGGGCAGCACGGTGGCGCAACTGGTAGAGCTGCTGCCTCTCAGCGAACAGGTCCTTGGTTCAAACCTAGGTCCAGGGGCCTTCTGGGTGGAGTTTGCATGTTCTCTCCGTGCATACGTGGGTTTTCTCCGGGTGCTCCGGTTTCCTCCCACAGAACAAAAACATGCATGTTAGACTGATTGGTAACTCTAAATTGTCCCTAGGTGTGAGTGAGAGAGTGAATGGTTGTTTGTCTCGTTTGTCTCTATGTGTCCCTGTGATGGACTTGCGACCCGTCCAGGGTGTACCCCGCCCCTCGCACAGTGATTGCTGGACATGGGCACCGGCGACCCCCGTGACCCAAAATAGAATAAACGGGTAAAGAAAATGGATGGATGGATGTATTTCTGACCCCTCTGTATCAGAAAAAAAAAAAAAAACACAGTGAATGGAGTCAAAATTTTCTCACTTGCTAAAAGTTGAGATTGACTAGTTTAAAAAAAAAATCTAACTTTTTCTTTTTTTTAAAAATACCAAACTGCTCAATAATTGAATGTTTCCACGATCACTTTTGGTGCTTTTCTGACTTGGTTACAAGAAACTGAATCAATAAAGTTTTTTGACAAAGTCAGACAGGTGGAGTTTAAAGATTTCTTGATATCATATGAATCTAAATTCTAACAAGTATACAATAATATCCTAAATGTTTTTTTTTTGGTGATAAGTCTCTGGGGTGTCAAACTCAGTTACACACAGGACCAAACTTATAAAACTGGGCCTGGCTAAGGTCCAGTCCTAGTATAAATGTATGTATTAAAACATATAAACATATAAATAATAATACAAATGACATTTGACCAGTTATGTGAAATTTAGAACAAACAAATTTTGTACTGAAGATCAAAAATTCTGATTTAAAAAGACACATAATTGGCAGTTGTAGGTGGGAAAGGTGAAGCACCTACATCTGCCCCACTCTCATTTTCCAGTAAGGTCTTTA